ATCCCACTCGAGCGAGAAAGGGCCTTCGCCACTGCTCCTAACCCTCGGCAATCTTGCTGCAGTTCCTCATCCCACCTTCTGCGTGGCGGCCCTTAGTCATGCCTTATCTCGCCGCAATCGCCGTCAATCGTGCCTCATCCCACCTTCAGTCGCAATCGTCCTTAGCTGCGCCTCCACCGGAGATGGCACTACTAGTGTCTCCTTCCAACAACGCGCCTCGTAGCCCTCAACAGCCATTGCAGCCTCAGCCCTTGGCCGTGCGATCCCCGTGGCTTCCCATTCGAGCCCTTCCTCGCTCTACATTTGCTGCTAACGAACCGCGTAATCACGGTGGCTTCCTAATTTGCCCCTTCTTCTTTCCTCCCCTTTTTCTTCCCTCCCTCCTTTGCTCTCACTACAGACATCGCCACACAAAGGCTATGGTTTTCGCAAGGACACTCGACGCTCCCACAACTTTCTTCTTCCCTACTAGCTAGCATACCACCCCTTGTCGCCCTCGGCCAGGATCGTAGCCGCACGATCACCTCCCAATGACTGTAGTGAGCCCTCGGTAGCGCTGCTACTAACCGCACCACCATCAATGCCTCCTAGCCCTCAGCAGCAGCGATCCCTCCACGTAGCGATCGCAGCGAGCATCACTGCCTCCTAGCCCTCTGCAGCAACGACCCTCCACGCAGCGATTGCTGCGAGCCCTTGGCGATGTTGCTCCCAACTGCGCCACCATCGCTACCTCCCAACCTCTCGGCACCTAGGGCTTCATCGACATCCTCGCAGCAACCCTTCACTCCCACAACGCTGCCACCGACTGGCGTCGTAGCAACAACACTAAATAGGGCAGTGCTGATGCCCTTGACCCGACACAAGAAACATGAGTTGGGGATTACAGATTTGCAATCCTATGCAATGGCTAGCCTTGGAAACTAGGATTGAGAACTGGCTGTTGGAAACCCTTAATGATTTCAAAAGGAGCCTATTTGAGAGCTTCAGCAAGTTTCAGCAATTTGAAAGTTCAAGTCTTACGTTGAACCGATCTAGAGATACAGGAAAAAGGAACCAAGAACAGGACACAAGCTACCCATGCATAAAGATGGAATTCCCAAGATGGGAAGATGGAGATCCTACTAGTTGGACCTCTAGGGTAGATAAATTTTTTCGTTTTCATAGAACTTCAGAAGAATCCAAGGTGAAAATAGCTTCAATCCAACTAGATAGAGATGCAATCCAATGGTATGATTGGTACGAAACCTGCTACGGGGTTCCCTCGTGGGAGAAATTCAAGAGAGGGCTTCTCATTCGCTTTGGACCATCTGAATATGAGAATGTTGATGGGCAGCTCGCTAAAATTTGTCAGATTTCTATAGTACTAGAATATCAGAGCAGATTTGAACCAAGATATTCAATTTCGAATAATACCGCCCGGTACGGGCGGTACGTACCGATTCGTCAGTTTACCGGTAC